CCCCCGGGGGGGGGGGGGGGGGGGGGGGTAGGACATGCAAATAAGCGAACCTGCCTCACACATACATCAGTGGCGGTACATCCTATCCCTCTCTGCGCGCCTGTAAATGCCACGAGAATACTTCTTGTAAACATTTTATATACCGCCCAAATAAAATAATATAAATAACATAAAATAATATATAAAATAAATAGTATATCGTATTTCACTCCTAACTTGATTAATTGTTGGCAGACAGTTTTTCAAGTTCGCGCATAATTTGGATGCGCAGCAGAACCGTGACACTGCCCCTTTAATTTTTTTTTTATTTTTTTTTTAACTTACAATAGATTTATTAATATGTAACATTTCAAGCATGCGTTATACATTATTATTATTTTTAAAATTATATGTATTAATTGTTTTATTAATGTCAGTACGTAAGTCCTCAATCAAGTTATTCACGAGGCCGAGGGATCCGTGCCTCGGAAGTTGCCAGGGAGATGTTGGAATCCCCGAATATGGGCCGATGTATCGAGGATCTACTTCCACGAATGCACATTATTGAAGATCGTAACGACGCAAACGACATTCTACATCGTAGCCAACTTATGGTCGCGGAATATTTTTTTTGTCTCTTATTGGATATCATATCCGCAAGACATTTATAAAAGGTTTCAGCCTCTCTTCCTATGCCGCTGGTCGTTGATAGAACTAAAGGCGTGAAAACACCACGTTCGACATTCCTAATTCTCTCTCCGTATTCTCGTTTCTTGGCCTGTTCGTGTCTTCTGTAAACGGATACGAGGTTCTGCGAGCGGTAGGAGGACGCGTTGGGATAGAACACCCTTACATCAAAAAATGCATCCTGCTGACCATTCCAAAAGCCTCTTGCCCGAATATCAACTCGGGCACCGTCATCGGTGTTGGCTGTGCGAGCTGACATGCTTTCTCCACTCAGCGGTTGAAGTGCTGACTCTGTGGCGACATTGCTACACACTTCAGTGAGGAGTGACGCTGTTAAATGACGAATCTCGTTGTGGCGGATAGTTGGAAAACCTCCCATGTGGAAGATCATGGCGTGATTTACGGTGAATTGAGCAGCACAGTTGCACGTTTGAGGCGTGTTGTTCACTTTCCATCCATACCGTAGACACAGTGCGTCTCTAAATTCTCCCTTGTGTAAGTAGAACCCGTGTTCCTCAAGCGGGAGAACAGATAACCATGACGAAGACCCTTTCTCTCGAGAAAGTTCTACACAACGCTTCATTTCAGGTGTCAGCTGGTTGTATGTTATTTCAGCTTGTTCGTCCTGTCTCTGGCGGTTTTCTCTCTTGATCTCGCTTTTGACCGTGCGAACGTTGTTACAATCAACCGTTTCATTTTCATCTTGGCAGATTATCAGTGCAACGAGTGATGCAGTAATGCGCTGTGAGGATTGAAAACAAGCCGAGGCCATTGTTGATGGATCACGAAGCCCAAGTCCTCCAAGACGAACAGGAAGTGAGAGGAGATCTCTTTCAATGGAAGAACACGGCGGTCGTCCGGTTAGTGCTGGGATGGGATGCATGTGTATTGCGTATTAGGTCTTCGATATCTCGAACTGTTCTTAAGAGATAAGATCAGCGGTTGGATAAGCCGTGTATGTATGCTGCGTGTGGTTGAGAAGAAGCAATACGAGCCAGGTTCATGATGTCATTGGTCCATTCATGTACCTTGTTGCCAACATATTCCTCAGTGAAAGTTTTAGAACCAATAGCAGCCCCAAGATGTCGTTTCCCATGGGTCGTTATGCGTACATCTGTGCCCGCGAATGCGTCTTTGGCCACGTTCTCAAATTCTGGCTTCACTACAAGGTACGTCTTGGAATCATTAGGGTAATATCCAAACGAGGGACCGTGATCAGTCAGTTCATCCCACCACTTTCTGAGTCCTGTGCAGGTAGACGCTCCTGTGGCATCATCAGCATACCATGCTTGGTGTACATCAGGACAACCAGCTTTCAGCTTATCAATTAGTGGCTTTATCGCAAGTGCATACATCGCCATTGCTAACGGATCTCCTTGGGTTGTTCCTTCAGTTGATGCAATTTCGCCGTCTCCTGTTACGTACATTCTGACTGGGGTTCTGTAGGTGTTGGTCAGGGTGGTCGCCAATGATGGACAGATTATGCTGATGTTATGGAGGGCTACTTGACGGTTAAGTGAGTTGAACGCGTTGTTTGCATCAACCAGAAGTACCGCTTCGGTGTCGGGTGTTTGGAAAATGCTTCGCATGGCATGTACCGCTGCTTCACAACCACCATCTTGACCTGCACAGAGTTGAAATGGACCAGCTGCGTCTACTACATCACTGCCAATGACTCTTAGAATGGCTTTCGCAATAATTCTTCGTGGAACCTCGCCCGACTCCAATTGGTCTTACGCCTGGGCACTTGTCAAGCGGGATTAAACGGCATGCGTCAAATGCACTCAGTCCTTCTGGATTGACATTTGTAGTAGCAATGCGACGACCAATATCAGCCAGTGCGCTGCACAGACTGTTCGAGGCAGACTTGAATGACGAGCAGAGTCTTCTCCACGGGTATGCATCCAAACCGGAGGGGCCAGCTGCGCCATGAGTGTGTAGAGCAGCATGTCGTATAGCATCTGCGTCTAGGCCATCGAATGTTATAGGGTTAACTGTCTCTGGTTCGCCGTCAATAAGAGAGGAAGCAACTGAATCTTTGCCTATAGGGTGCTTCTTTTTCAGGATTTCTCTTGTCGTTTGTTGGATTGACTCGCCCTCTTTTGTCGTTACGGGAATGAGGTCATCTAATTTGAGAACTCCGCCATTGCTATTTCTTGAGATATATCTCAGTGCACTCTGGACTTTCCCCTGTAACATGAGGCTTCTAAACGTTCGGGCGATGACATCATTGCTTTGAGGAGTGGTCGATTTGCTGAGTCGCTTTTGAATACATTCACCTTCGTCAAGGAGTGCTTCTATGTCGCCGTCAAGCCATAATTTTATTCGTCTTTGCAGATGTTTCACATGATCTTTACTTTTGCTTGCTCGGCTTGGTTTTTGAAGTACCAGGATCGGAAATACAGTGGTTGCTTTCATAGCGATGCATTCTAGACTTGAACTGTCCGCGTAAGCTTGATATAAACGGGCAAGCTTGGAGACGAATGATTTTCCAGCGTTTCCTGAAGGTACTTGAAAAATGTTTCGTCGCCAATGGACAACTTCCTCGTAGGTCGTGTTTATTTTCCGGCAAAATATCTCACCACTACCAGAGTTCCATGTAAAGTTTGGTGGTTGTAGGTCCGGGAATGAATTCGTTACAGTTAGCAAAGTATCATCTTGTGAAGTTGTTCCACTTTCGCTGTCGGTTGTGGTTTCATGGTTGACATATGTTTGCTTATGGTTATGGTTATGGAGGCGGAGTTGCCAGGATCAGATGACACATGCTGTGGTTGGCGTACTCTATTATCACATTGACCAGATCGTTGAGGAGCACAGTTCTGACAAGTAGTACCGTTTTTCACGCAGGAACAGTTTCTACAACGGCCTGAGCGTTTACATTTGCAACAGGACATGTCCGAAGTAATCTGTGCCTTGACTTGTTGGGTATAAAGTTTGTTGTCAGTTCTGATTGCCGAGAATTGCACAATTTAAGTTCGCAGGAAGGTTTTCCAATTGCACTTGGAATTACAATTAATTTCTTCTTAATTTGATAATTGATGCGCACGCGCGCTGACGTGCAGAGTTTGCACACGTGATGCCAATTAAACGGTCGCACGCAGCAAAATCAAATATCTAAACTTTTCCCAAAGAGAAATGTTGAGAATGCAAGAATAATCGTCTTTCGAATAAATTTCCAAGAACTCTCACCAAATACCAGCTCTTCGAGACTTCAGTCAACACTTTCTAATTTTCCAGCTTTTCAAGTCCAGGAAAAAATATTGAATTTTCTATGTAACTGCAGAGCGCAAATTTAACTTCCACACGCCACTAATCACGTCATTTGCATAACCCCTTTAATAGGCTATAATTACCTTACAGTAATATTTATTGCCCAAACCAGCTTGACATATTTTTACAAATGGCCAATCACATGTGAGATTCAAATTCTGAATCTAATCAAGTGTGGAAGTGAGATTTGCAACCGATGTGACCAGAGGCTCTCTGTTCTCGCCTCTCATTTCTTTCGCCGCGCAAAGAGCCCGACTCTGGCCCAGGGTATTAAAAGTGATATTTTGGTGAGATTTTTCAATTTTAAAAATATGTTACCATGACAACTACTTTCAATACTTCATGTTCGGAAAATATAATGGTTTGGTCAAGGTCTTCATGCATGCATTTCTAGTTTGGTGTGTGTAGTACTGCTGACAGTAAAGCTACACTGTATAGAACGAAAGCGTCTTGTCCAGCCTGCCAATCAGTTATTTCACGAAGGAAACGTATTAAATATATAATAGACGTTATCTCTACATACGGACACGGCCCTCACATAGGCTATGTTGCAATATTGACAATCGTAAAGTTTCGATTTTACTCTGTTCTGCGTAAGTATATAGTCTGACACAAGACCCACATCCACATGAAACTGCTACATAGATTCCGTGGATGAATCATGTAAGCACAAAATATTTTGGACCAATATGAACATTGGAAGTGAACACCGTTCTTGCAGCTGAACTGCCTGTATGTATGAATTTTTAAGCAACACTGCTGATAGTACACGCATACGACTGAAACACATGCACACTGAATAAAATGATTCCCGGTGGCAGTTCGGTTTTACCGCGTGAACTTGCGTACCACCTGATTACGATTTTACGACTTTGTGGCGACTCATAGAAGCGTTGTCTAACCCATTCTAGAAATTATTCATATGAATTACATATCGTTGAAGGCTTTAATATAATATTCAAAAAAACTCACCTTAAATATGTGAAGTCGATATTTCGTAATTGAAATCGAGCTATATACTGTCGGTTAGTTTGTTTTCTTTCGTGTAAGCTTAGTTCTTTCGAAAGCTACTAGCTTGAATTAAAGCTTCACAGAAAACGTAAAATACTTTAAAGATTACTTAAATAAAGAGCAATGTTATTGTGGAAGGGGAAATACCCGAGAAGGGATTTTCCCGAAAGACCGGTATCCACATGTTATATTTGCTTTTATGAAATTAGCATACATGAAGTATCGAAACTGACACGTGAACGGATGTTGGTAAATGTGAATCCTTAGGGGGCATTTAAGATACGCTCTTGCCGTTGGTGTTGCGATTCCTTTCTGATGTGCCATGAAACAGGAGCCTAAATTCGACTCATTTCTTTAATTTTATGGCCTCATATTTCTAGCTGCTTATGTCATAAAATAGCCTGCGTGCAGCCTGACTTTAAATGGGGGAAAAGTCAGTCTGCGAATCAGGGAACAATACCGTGTTCGCGCCATCTTTTGAATTGCATGGATTTCTGTATTCAAACGTGATTGGCTATTGCTCAGAAGCTTAAATACACGCGCTACGAGTGGCCAACTCATTAATATATTCAGTTCAACAAAATAATATATTTAGCAAAATGGCGACTTAAGAACCCTCAATGAGAAAACTTTCATATCTTTTGTATGGGTTTCGTGCTTAAATTACACACAACATTGCTCTTTGTGTATTGGTCCGCCATTTTTTCATTCTGGAATGTTGTTTGAACTAAATATATTAACGAATTGGCCAATCGTAGCGCGTGTATTAGGCTTTTGTGCAATAGCCAATCACGTTTGAATACAGAAATCCATGCAATTCAAAAGATGACGTGAACACGTTATTGTTCCCTGATTCGCAGACTGACTTCTCCCCAATTAAAGTCAGGCTGCACGCAGGCTAGTCATAAAAAGGCTTGTTTGGCAAAATCAATATATGGATGGCAGTTCATCAGTCTTACATTTTAAGATTAACTAACCTGAGTATGGCTTTTATTTGCTTTCTATTTGTAATTAAAGTACAAGTTGTGGAATTTGGACCTTGGCAAGTGAGAAAAGGCGAAGATAATTCCAATGGACCTTTCTTATAATGACGTCAAACGCGGAAAACCGATTTATGCATTATTGTCCCACAACAGGCACAAGTCAATGCAAGTCGTTCGCGAGCCAATAAATCAGTCATAAAAACATAATTTGCATTATTGATTGGGAAATCGCATAAAAGTGTTTCTCCGCGTTTGATGTCATTATAAGAAATGTCTATTCATATGGAGTAGGCCGTTTGCCGGTGAGGCTAAAAACGGCCTATAGAATACAAATTCCGTAGTGCACTCCGTGGAACTAAATGATTTTATAACAACTTACCACTTTCAACTGCGCTGAGTACGAATCCCAAGAATTCCCGCTCCTAATCTCTTTTATTTCACCGTTATAGACGATTTAAAATTTGCTAACCTCAGCAAAATATGATTTGGTAAAAATCATTGCTTACTGCCTAAAATTCTAAAGGTAATAGCTAAATCTTTAGTAAATCATTACGAAATGATGGTTGATGAAAGGTAAAGAAAATAAACCAAATGGATTCGATTTGTTTCACAGATTTTAAAAACATTGCACAATGATGACGTCATTATAGTATAATATAATAGGCGTTTTCTCTGAAATGCCTCGTTTTTGCTTCTACGCATTTCCGATGTAAGTTTTGATTGTTCACAATAAACTCAGAATTAGTCATGTCAAGACTGCCACGAATGAATGTGTAAAGTTTTTTTTTATATTAGCTTTGCCGTCTGCTAAATATAATTAACCTTATGTGAAAGTCTCCCCACAGTTCTCAAGAAAATGGAAGATCTCCGATTTAGACCCAATTTTTCAACAATTCCTATCCGTTAAAAAACAAGAAAAGTCCGATTAGAAAAATAATGACTACACAGTTTGAATTTTTTCAAAAAAAAAAAATGAATCGCCACTGTCGTTGCTATGGCAACAATGACGCTTCAATATAGTTGGTATTTTGGGTTTAAAGTTATTTAACTTGCAAATAAGGTCGGTTACCCCATTTTTTATTTCATAAAACGAATTTGTTTAGTATTTTGAATCATTATTATGAGTTTGAAAGAATTATGTCATGCGAAAAAATATTGTTACGAATCTTCCATTTTTTAAAAAGTGTAGGTAGCCAGCCACCTTAACCAATATATTAATTCGTACATTTGTACTTTGGCGCATACACTTTAAAATTGTAATGTTTGAACATTGCCTAATTGACACGAAGAGTTAGAACTCAGTTACACTGCTATCGCTATCAACTGGATTATATGTGTCGTCAGAATCAACATCCTCAATTGTGTCTGTATCTCCATTGGCACCATTCTGGCAATTACTACAGTTACAGAGCTCGGAACATTTCAAGTTAGCTTTTTTACAAGAGCAACCGTTATTGATGCAACCGGTCTTGCACTTACAGTTAACAAAGTCCAGTACGGAGTCAGGTGCTGGAGGCAAAGTCATCCATGTTATGTGCACGTGTCCATTGTTATCGATCTCCCATCCGTGTCCAGAGAAACTGGGTGCATCCATCATGGAGTTCGTTGCACGCCTCCAAATAAAACACTGGAATTAAATCCGCTCGCTTCACATGCTGCTCCAAAGAATCCTCGTTTGGTGGTAATAATTCCTCATCAAATTTTTAATTTAAACATTAACTAACGAACGAGATTGACATCACACTGATTTTCAGCGCCGTACAAATGGCACACAAACTTTTTTAAGACAGCTTTCGTAGAACTTGGTACATCCAATTCATTTCCAAGGTTTGAAAATGCCGGAGCGTATTCTTCGCTTTCCATCGCAATTTTAAGTGCTGAAGACTTTCCTTTTCCAAAGAATGCACTTGTGGTATGGCAACCTTAAAGAAGGATATTTAATGAATTAATTTTTCATTCGGAGAATGGTTGAGCAGCAAACTTAAAATTAAAAGTGTTACCTGTAATAGTAATAGTAATAGTAATAGTAATAGTAATAGTAATAGTAATAGTAATAGTAATAGTAATAGTAATAGTAATAGTAATAGTAATAGTAATAGTAATAGTAATAGTAATAGTAATAGTAATAGTAATAGTAATAGTAACAGTAATAGTAATAGTATTTATTTAAAGTCAATACATAGGGAGTGATTGCTCAATCTCCCGAGCCATAGGCTCATGTTAAAAATGCTCGGCTATTTACTCTATGCGTGAATACATGTACAAATTTAAAACAAAGTACTGATGAGAAACCAATTTACATAGTTAGGACTAATGGCGAAAGTACTGTAGTATAAAATATTTAAGAATTAGATACATCTCGCACACCTACAGCCGAGATTGAGTTTGTTAGTAAAATCCATTCTTGAAATTGAAGAACGAAACTCGGATAACGAGTTGGAGTTTTTAATATCATTAGGTAGCTCATTCCAAATATGCGAAATGATATAAGAATATAAATTATGTCAATATAAAGTATTATATAACTGGCCTGCTCAAAATTCAGACCAGTATTTCTAAGATTGTAACGCGAGGACCGTAATTTTAAAAAGTTTGAAATATATTGGGGCCCATGAAGACGTGTACATTTAAAAAACATAATTAAAGACTGTTCAAACCGTCTTTGTTCCAAGGAACGCATTGATGCCATATTCAAAACTGTTTCGTAATCTGAAGTATCACCCATATTAAATAGAGTTTTTAGGCCATAATGGTTAGCAGATTCCAATTTCCTACCCAAGCCTTTCCCGATACCAAGAAGGAGAGGACAGCAATATTCCAAATGTGGAAGGATGTAGGCTTTGTACAATTTCGTTGCAACTTCAATAGGGATTAAACGCCTTATTCCTCGTAAGACCGCCACTTTCGAATAAACCTTCTTGAGCATTTCTTTTACATGGGATTCAAAAGTTAAACGCTTGTCTAGAGTAACTCCTAAAATTTTGACGACCGTTGCCATTTGAATGGAGGTATCAGCAACTTTTATATCGTAATCGAAATCAGATTTTCCATTACCATAGCCTGTGTCTTATACCAGCATTCACAGTGAGAAAATTATTGTGAAACCAAAGGTCGAGTTTTGATATATCCGTGTTGATCGAAAGCTCCAATTAATGCTGCACTCCACAGATCTCACAAAGTTCTCCTTAACCTTACTAATTGATATTATCCGCCTTTTATCTTTTGTCCCCGTCTCGAAATATAAATCTGCTGATTGAGAAACTAAGGCCTACTTTGGGGGCCAAGGTCGCCGTTATTACATTGCTCTGTATCTTTTGCGATGATAACTAATTATGAGATGTCGATCAACGTAATTTCGTCGAAATGTAAGTAATTTTATTTTACAAACTACAAAGTCGTATTTTGAACATACTATAGATGACTTTCTTTATTTATAGTCTATATAATATTTAAAACACGAGTAGGTGTGTTTTATCAGATATAAAATGCGAGGCGCAGTCGAGCTTTTATATCTGATAAAACACGACAACGAGTGTTTTGAATAGCTTAAAATACGACTATATACTAATTTATTAGGATGAACCATTGTATAATAATGCTAATTAGGATGAACAATTATACCATGCCACATGTGTTTTATCAGATATAAAGTCACTCCGCGTGACATTATTATGTATGGCTGACATGTTTGCCACAAGGTTTATGAATTATTAATGAGTATTTTAAATAGTACATATATAACTACAGACGGTACTGTTTCGGCCTTTAGGATACCCAGTGTACTTCGCTAGTGAGAGGTATTCTGTACTTTAGCACTCCCCAGTTATCATGAATGTATCTTTGATAATAAGATCTAAGTTCGATTTCATATACAACATTTAAATATTTAATGGTGTGTGATTGTCTAATTTGACTGAAGCCTGGTTTACATATGCCTGCGGTATGCCTGGGACTGTATCATTATATATGCCTCTACTTGCCGCCGAAATACCGGCAAAGTTGAACTCAAGTCAACTTTCCCGGTCTACCGCCGATGTATCTGTGGCACTGGAGGCAATAGGCGAACAAATATTCACGGCATAATTTACGTTTTAAGCTACCACCGGCATCGTCGCCGGTACGTCACAGGCACGTCGCAGGCATCTTTGTGAACCAGGCTTGAGTTTCACAAAGAAACACATTGGAGAAGATAGCCAGAAGGCTGCCTTAACAACATAATTTAGGTAATTTTCATTGGAATAATGCGTTGTAATTCCATATACATATAAACCCCAAATAACCAAGCCTCATTAGTACTGGCGAGAGATGGTCCCAAACAGCACATGCCCTTGGTGTTTGTGTACATGTATTTATACAAAAACATGCGGGAAACTAACAAATAAGTAAGGAATAGACTAGAATGGACGACAAACTCAAAGTGCAAAATTGGGCATGCTTGTGTGAGATTATGCGACATTAGGCGAAATTAGGCGACATTAAGCGAATAGACTGTTAGGCAAAGTTAAAAAATCGGGTGCACATGGGCGAAATTGGGCGAAATTAGGCGACATTAGGCGAAATTAGGCGACCTTCGCCCCCAAAGTAGGCCTAAACTAGCATTTAAGGCTATGATATATACGTCCGTATCAGGACTTTTAATAATGATACTGGATGTCTGCGGACGCACTCTTTGCGTGAGCGAGCATTCTCGTATCCGCCTCCTCGTGGTTACAGGCAAGATCTTCTACTTCGTGGCATGCGAATTCCAGCAGTATTTCCTTGTTACCAACAATTCTTTCTTCAATAATTTCAGCACAAAAAATGTCAAACGCATTGTCATAAACTGTAGCACTTTTTGTGATACCGTGCTTCAATTGTAACACAGTCTTTTCCTGCAATTTCATGAAGAAAATCGGTGTCATTATGTAGTTTGGCTGCTTCTTGTAAGGTTCCTACCGTAATTGTTTGTGCCAATGATAGGAACTGTTTCTTTTATATTTTCGCGAGTGCTACAAAAATGGAAACTATAATTACAGCGTGGATCAAACGAGAACGTAAGTTGGCAATCACGCTATCTCATTATTTCAGTCAGACGCTCTGAATATCTTCTGCACCATAACATGAACTTTGATACAGTTTATACTTGTTTAGAACACTTACGAAGCAGTTATTTTGTTAATGCTAAAACGACTGTTACGATAGTAAATCTTGACTATCAACTTGCCATCCTCCGCTCTCACTTGATTCGGGCTTAATAAGAACAACCTCAGATCACCTCTCTTATATTTAAAGTAATAAATAAAAACAATGTTTCACTATACTCACCGGCTCAAATAAACTAATAGGTTTTGCTTTTTTTACAAACCAAGCACTTTTTCGGTAGAATATTTCTACGAACAGAACTAGAAGTGGTAGGGGAACAGCGTTGTTTTTGAATTCGGGACCACTGCCTTGTCGGTGTCCTTTTCTGTGGAACAGGATCATCGTCTTGTTTCTCACATTCGTCTTTCTTTCTCGAGCTCTTTAAATTCGCGAGCGTTGATTCCGCTCTCTCAAGCTTTTTTGTCGGTGAAATTTCGATAGCAAGAAACATGATAACCAAGTTTTTCGTCATGTTCACATGCATACCTCATCTTTGTTGGCAGGGATATGAGCGTACCTTTTCTCCACAACATCGCTGAATTCTCCATATTTTTCAGGGAGATTCAGCCACTGTTTTCTTCGTTCGATTATTTTCTTTAATGTTTCATGGTTAAAGATTTTATTTGCCCGCATTTTCCCGTGAAATAAATAATGCATGAACTTTCGTCCATTTTGTTTTGATATTCCCGCGTTTTTGCGCCATGCTTTATTATTTATCATGCAGCGAGATCTTCCTTTGGTGAACATTCGGCAAACGGTCGGAGGCCTTGACGTCACAATTCCTCGATTCGACTGATGTTATTTTATGATGTATGTTACGCAATATTCAAAATGGCGGCTGTTGACGTTGAAAATGAGTGCCAATATAAGAGGCAATTGTGACAAAATGAAAAAGATTAGGAGCGGGAACTCTTCGGATTCGTACTCAGCGTAGTTGTAACTTGTAAGTACCCTGGAAGCCAGAGGGTATTGTTTTCGCCTTTGTTGAGTAACCCTCTGGTGGAATTGGCGGGGGTTTTCGGATTCATTTCACACATAACTTTCAAAATTGGAAGGAAAGAGTTGATTGGTTGCTGACTATAGGTTCGATAGACTACGTGTTCTGATTGGATATTGTAAACATCATAGCCTGTTCGCAGGCGTTTCGTTAGCATTCGTGCACAACACATTATTTAAAATTTTAAATATTAAACAAGAATTGAAACATAATAATAAAATAGACGTTCTCTGACCAAAAATATATATTTATTACAAGCTTTCGGCTACCAATCTGTAGCCTTCAACGGGTATGAGTGTATGAAATATGAAACTATAGTCTATTATTGTATATACAGAAAGATTTGCATAATTGCGTATGAAATATGAGTGTGTATTGTCAACTATGACTGCTTTTTTATAAGAACAGTATATTGTCCGGGAAGTGAACATGAATTGTTGTCAGCATCAGTTGTTAAGGCTGTATGCCATGACTCTAGAGTTTTTCGGGTCCTAAAATTTCCCTTATCGATAACTTCCGCGTTTTCAAAGTCAATCCTGTGGTCATA